AAAAGTTCACATAAATGTACATAACCTTAAAATGCTTCGTTTCTATATGAAAGTAGCAGTCATATTGACATCAAAAGAAAAATTTCCCATATAAAAAAACTCCCAGAGACCAATTTCCATCCAAAAATTGACGTTAGTTCAGAAACAATTTGGAAAAATTCGAAATAAAAATGAAACGTCTACTCCCTGTATCTCTAACTTTTGTACTTATTTTTATCTGCAGAATATGCTGATGAAGTTTCATGAAAGCAATTCGGACCACCCTGTATATTGTATATGGATCGTACTGTATTATTAATAATGTAATCCAGCTTCAACACTAGCAAATGGATGGAATGAGAAAACTCTTAAAAAATATTTCACGTAAAAAAATATTCTAATAAAAATATACAGGTGTTCGAAAAAAATTTGAAGTAAAACACAAATAAAATTGTAATACCAATAATTATAAAACACAGAAATAAACATTATAATTAGTGAAAATTAAAACTCGTGTGTGTGTGTGTGTGTGTGATTATACAAAGCAGGAAGATATTAACATTTTTTATTTTGATGTTGCATAATTTTCAAGCATAATTCTCTGTTTTATTTTGCAAACATTACTAAAAACAGGACAAGTTATAGAAAAAAATCTTCAAAACTTGGTAGTACTTTTCTGAAAACCTCACATTGTGTAATCATGTCATTTTTTTTGAACACCCAAGAACATTAAAAAAATAAAACACTCAGTATGTACAGATTATATGGTCGCAGATTATATTATATACAAATGGAATAAATTATATGGATGTTAAAGAATACATATACCGAATTATGCACCGGCTCCGAACATAGAAAATCCATATACTAGGTGTGGTCACTTCATCTACGTGCTAACAAAGCTAAATATAAATGACCGGTTGACAGACAGAGACACAAAGAGTTGAGTTTTTTTTTTCACAAAAATTTATCAACTTTATCAGTAAATGCACATTCAATTTAATGGAATCTACGTTTTTTGTTTTTATTTCAATGGAATTTCAACGTGTGTTTATTCAGTCATTATTTGTCATCAACAATAATTTCCCAACTTTATGCGTATAGGTTAAGAATCACCCTGTATATATATTTTTTTGTTTGAAATCACTTATAAAAAACATCCAGTATATAGATTAGTATATCCCCAAACACAAAATCATAAAAATTTATGTATACGTGACAAAAATTCGCTGTTCGAATACATATCATTCGTAAATTCTAGTGCAGAACTAGGTTCTTCTAATACATATAGAGACTATATCTTCATTCCCGAGAATCTATAATCGTTGTCAGAAAATATGTTGTTTTATATTTTTCTTTTTGAAACGGTTGTATGTTTCCAAATTCCTACCGACATTTTGACCTGCAGTAAGTACTTTACAATTTGACATTAGATAATACATAAGTACTATTTTCATTCTTGACTTAAGATTTTTTCCGAACAATAGTGTATTGTTTTATTAGGAGTAAAAATAATACGTTTTTGACGATGCTGTGTACCTTTGAAGAACCATCGTAAAGCTATTCCGACGTTACAGGGAGGCACAAAAAGTAAATTTTTATTCCGAATAGAACATACTATTTTTTTGAACATTACAAATATTTTTTAATTAATTTCAAACATTGCAAATAATATAAACAGTAATCGAGCAATAATTTGTACACTCGTTGAATCAGACACTTCATATCAGTTTAATAATATATTTTTGTACTTTTGTGCTGAGGCGGAATAGTGCTTTACTTTTATGCCTAGGCGTTAAAATGACAAAAATTAATACGTTTGAGACGTTTGAAAAAAAATCCTTTTGATCTGAAGCGAACGACTTTTTTTGCGGAATATATTGGTGACCGACGTGGAAAAATCACAACGCCCCGTAGAATTCAGGATAGGACTTTAATTGGAAATAAATCCTAGACATTTGGAAATCCGATTTAAATATAGTTTTGAATTAAAATCAAAAAAATCCGATTTAAATAAAAAAAAATCAGATGTAAAATCAAAAAAAATTGATTTTTTTTATTTTTTCCAACCCTGTTCAAAAATGTGTCCATCAACGTTAATGTTATAAAGCTTATTAGAAGAGTTTTAAAGTTGATAGGTAGCCTCATCTAATCCACTACATTAAAAAATGTCATTAACACAGTCTCTTCTAAAATCAATAACGACACCTTAAAATCTACATTGGTTTTCTTTCCTATTTGTCCTGAGCTGATGCACAATCTGGTATGAATTTATTTGAACACTAACTTAAATCAATAATCGTCTTAATTTTTATATACAGTGTGTTTATTTTCTAATTCAATATTATCTAACGCAAGTGAAAATTGAACTAAAATTATTATTATGGTAAATTATTTATCTTTTTGACAAAATTTTAATAAATTATATCAAAGTTCATGTAATTTAATCAATGTAATGAATGTAATTATTCAGGGTGGTGAATGAAATAAATAATACTTTGTGTAACACATCCTACAAAGATGCTTATCCTATATATGTACTTACATATCTACCATAAGATATCAATTTGAGAAGTGTTAGTTTAATATATTAATTTTAATTACCCTATTCTCTCAACAGATATTTTATGTGTCGCGTCGTGATTAAAATAAATATAAAAAGATGATATACATGCGTATGAAGGAAATTAATTATTGTACTAGAGGTTCTATGTATTTACAGAGATACTGTATATAAAAAAAATTGAGCATTTTTTAAAAATATGTATTGATATTGTTTAAGGAAGCCACAGTAATTAATTTTAATTAATTTATAAATTTAATAATGACAAATAATATCACATAAATTTCTAACTTAATTTGTTGAAATTATAATGTATAAAGTCTGATCAGTGAGAGAAGAAACGATTTTGACAGACGACATCCAAAAAATGACAGAAAATATTACTACTTTTGAATTAAAATGACAGACAACTGTCACTATCATATATCCTCTCATCCTCTCAATGGATAGATTATATACTTTACAGGGTGTCCCAGAAATAAGTGCAAGTATTTTAACTGGTAGTATAGTTCAACCCCAGAAACAAGCATATGAGATTTTTTTTCGCGATAAAAAAATTTGAAAATTCGAAATTTTTAGAAAAATATTTTGGAGATTTTTTTAGTTTTTGGTTAAAAAACATAATTTCTTGATAATATGGCAACATAGGTATTAGATTAAATTTACAAGAAAGAAAATCCAGAAAAGATCCAGTGGTTTTCAAAATTTTAGCAAAAAAATTTGGAAATTTTCAAAGTAAAATAACTCCGTTATTTTGGACTTTATTTGAAAAACGATAAAGAGTAAATATGTTTCTTTTATCGAGATCTATCACCCCTTAAAATACTTGCACTTATTTCTGGGACACCCTGTAGATATATTCGTTAATTAAAAACAGAGATATTTATTTTAAAATGTCATATTCATAAAAAATAGAAAAAAATCCTACAAGCACCTGGTTAAAGTGTCAGTTTAATACTATGCACTGTAATATGGTTTATTACGGGGTGAGTACAGAGTGTTCCAAATTCGAGAGTGATAACTGGGATCTCCGAAATTATAACCTGACATGCGAAGCAGGTCAAATGAAAGTAAAATTTTGCAATTATATGTCTCTTAAAATGAAGTACTCTAGAAATACAAAGAAAAGAAATCAACGTTTATTAAAATGTCATTTTTATGATTTGTATGAAGAATTAAAGATCTCCTTCTAGTCCAATCTTCCTCATTATCCATTTTTCCTAAACTTTTAAACACGATAGAGATATATTAAATTCCAAAAAAATGCTTTCTTAGTTTATATATATATAATGACTAAAAGGCACGCCATTTGTATCTGCGCAGAAACTATTTAACCGTCCTTTTGATTGCATGTGTGCGCAGCTCCTTAAGAATATATTGGTTTAAACTATGGAGGGTAGAGGTGAGGAGAAACATCTCTTATGGGACTTTATTTAAAAAAAGTAGTCACTAAATTAGGAAGAATAAGTGGTTCACTAAATGACCACAGTGGCGCTAACAAGCAATAAGGGATCGAACTGAACTTAGTGGTTATAAATAGTGACGTTAGTCAAAAAGAAAGGCAACATGAGCCTTCAGAAATAACATATTTATACAGGGTGTGAAAAAAGTTCGTATAAATGTATGTCCTAAAATGTTTAGTTTTGGAGATTCAAGTTTAATTTTTATTTAGATTTTTTCCAAACATTTTATGAAGTAACATCAATATTTGGATGAAAATTGTTGTCTGGGAGTTTTTTGAGATGAGAAATTTGATTTACATGTCAATATGGCGCCTACTTGTAGAAGGCGCCAGCTGCATATTTTTTAACTGGTTTGCAGAGTAATAACTTTTCATCCATACCTGTATAAAACTACTCAGTAAAAAAATATACATTTACCTTTTTTACGTAAAAAAGGTCTCTTGGTAAAAATCGCTACGAGTAGTGGTTTTCGAGATATTTGGAATCTAAATTAACAATACCTGTCATCATTGATATAAATTAAACATGTTAACTAAATAGTTTTTAGACTGAAATCATAAATTTCAAATGTTTTTGTACCAAAAGTTCAACAGAAACTGTTTAATCATCATTTTTTCGCAGAAAAATTTATGATTAATTTAAAAAAATAAAAATGTATTATTTCACTGAAATAACTATACTCTAGACTATTTCCATTCTAAATATCTTGAGAACGGTTGCTCGTAGCAATTTTTACCAACAGACATTTTTTACATAAAAAGTCATGGAAAAGTATATTTCTTCACTCGGTGGTTTTATACAGGTACGGACGAAAAGTTATTACTCTTCATAACAGTTAAAACACATGTAGACGACGAGGAGTAATATTGACATCAAAATTAAATTTCTCGTGTCACAAAACCCACAGACACCAATTTTCATCCAAATATTGACGTTACTTCAGAAATTATTGGGAAAAAATCTCTCTCTCTCGAAATAAAAATAAAACTTCTACACCCTGTATCTCCGAAACTAAGCATTTTAGGACAACTACTTTTTTTTTACTTATTTTTATCTGCAGAATATGCTGCCGAAGTTTCCGGAATACAGTTCGGACCACCTTGTATATCTCTTATTATTTCCCGTTCTAAAAATTCTTGGCGCTTTTTTCAAATGTAGAACTTTTGCTATCGCAGCACCATCTTAAGTGTTCCCTGTTTGGTGACCACTTTTCAACACACGAAGATAATTCTCCTTATTTCTATCCCCCATAGTTTCAACCGACTAAAAATTATATGTCAGCGCCCAGCCTTAAGCTTTCCGAGATCCTAATTGTAACCTTCGACTCTGAGACACCCCGTATGTCAATAAAATACGAAAATAATATTATAAAACCGTAAAAATATTGCACGTGTGTACACTAAAACAGCTCTCTGTAAATCCCAACGCGGTTTATCTTATAGGAACTCTAGTTTTAAAGGGACAAACTAACCTATAAATTGAACTAAAAGAAATAAAATCAATAAATATACGTCATATGTATGTTGTACGAGGCGTACTCCTCAGATACTCCGATAAAAATAGTGAAAAAAGTGGCGATTTGCCATTTTTTATTCGTTTTTCACTATGGATCGAGACTACAGCTTCAAAGCGTGCCTAAAGAAATCATTTCTGTGACGCTTGGGAACTGACCTTGCCGCCATTTTTGATCTGGTCCTTCTTTGAAGTGGGCGGATTGGGCGACAAGCAGATGACGTCATCGCCGTCCTCGTTATCGATTTTGGTCTCGCCGTCTTCTGAAACTGGACCGTTTTCTCTGTAAAAATATAAACGTTCACAACCTAACCAAATCATAATTATATGCTAATATTTACGGGGGTAAATGAAAGTATTGTACGCCGTAAACGTCTTAACTAGTGAGATACAAAGAGTATACTCTGTTTTTTTCTCAGGTAAGATTTCGACAGACGATGACAGAAAAAAAGCAGATGACATCCATACCGTTCGATATATATTTATATATTATTTATATTATTATTATCTATTTGACTGTCAAATAGTTATTTTACAGTCTTTTTCGATAAATCGCAATAGTGTCACTGTTAATTTAAGTTCTGCTATAATTTCCTTCTAGATTTACTACCTTTAAACAACTATCAGCAGTAGAATAAATGACAAATAACCTAAAATATGCTCAGTAAAGACTGACAAATCTACAAAATTTCAAATCAAATTCAAATGTCTCAAATGAATCGTCAAACTAGGGCCCTTTGTCCGTCTACCTTGCATGAATACATGGATAGTTTTATACTCCACCCTTAATCTTTTTATTCAAAGGAATTTACTATGACACTCACCTTTCCCACTCTTTGATGATTTGATCTAGGTTGTATCTTTTGCGATAGTTAACGAAAAACGTGCGCACATAATGTTCCGTTTTGTTTCCTAGCATCTCGGCGATCGCCTTGAAATCTTTACCGTATTTTCGGAAACCCTGTAAAATAAAAAAAAATAGCAATTAAAAATCCATAGTTTTAATACTAAGTGGTATTAGAGTAAGATCTCAGAGCGATCAGACATAACTTATTTTCACAAGGATGAAACCTTAAGCCGCGTATAAATATGCCGAGGCAAGTACGAGACAAACCCGAAACGAGTATGAAACGAGGCTATAGCAAATTCTTTCCAAAAGGCGTACTAATATGCCGAGACGAGGACGAGACGAGTCAACCTCAAGCGGAATTCGTCATATTATAGCCTCGAGCCGAGCGATTTAGCCTCGAGCAGAGGCCCTGCCCAGTCGAACTGCGTTGTCTCGCGGCTATCCATTTTCAGTGGAGCCTTTGGCGAACCCACAAAATTCTTCATAGGGCTATGCGATACTGAAGCAGTATCGATATTTTGGTATCGGTTGTATTGAATATAAAGTATCGATACTTTAAAATATTGATAAATATATTGAAGTATTATTCGATACCATTCAATATTTTAAAAAATTAATTAATAAATTTAAGTATACTGTTTTTTTTTAATTGGATTAGGATCGAAACAAATCAACAGAAGTCCTTTGTTTTAAATTTGTCGACGTTTCGCAAAATTTATTTGCATCTTCAGGTTTGACACTACAAAGTTAAGAGAGCAAAATACAATCAAAAAATTTTAAAAATTTAACAAACAACTTAAAATACATATCAGTGGAATTCCACACATACACAATTGGTAAAACTACCCTAATGTTAACAATTAAATAAAATATATGTATACTATGTTATAAACTTAAGATCGCTTGTAAATAAAAATAATAAGGGATAAGGCCAGAATATAATCAGGATATTTTCTTATTCGCATTTAACGAAAAAAATCGACGATGGTGGCACTGTTTTATACAAAAAACTACCCGGATCAGAACTAAATCAGTCATCAAACGATCTCAAATTACTAAAAACACTTGGAAGAAAATGATAAAACACTTACTTAACCTAGGGTTGGCAACTTTGAAAATAAAAAATAGGTGTGAGAGGATAAAAAAAGGCACAGGCGAAACATTTTTGAAACGTCGCTCAAATGTCGAGAATTTACCAAAAAGTTATATAAACGGTATGCGATAAATATTTAAAATACACAAAAATATTTACTCAAAACTTATTAAAATAAAGCAAACCATTGTCAACAAAACTTTTTTCAAGACATAAACTAACAGTAAGTAAACATAAAATTACATAAAAGACACAGATTAACAATTCTTTAAAGCATTGTGGCGATAAACGAATATTTTTTAGATTTTGAAGTTGGTATGTAACGAAGTTTTCAATACGTGAGAGAAAAGAGGACTGCTTCTGGAATAGAGGACGGTTGGGAACTCTATTTTAACCCCCTGTAGCTACGAATCAAAGCAGAATTGGATTGGTTGATATTAAAATAAATCTTATTTTTACGTGAGGAACTTCCCCAAGAGAGATGGAACATGTTTTTTGAAACACCCTGTATATGTTTGTTTAATTTCAAAATAGGTAAAAAAACAAGCTAGATAAATTAAAGGAATTCATGATAAATTTAAATTATATTCGGACTGTTTACATTAAAAAAAAACTGGAGAACGCCGACTGAGATACCTGGAGATAACGGCAAGGCGCGGCAGCGGCGGCGGCGGAGCCTTCTGCCAGTGCCGATTTTTTGAGTCTTTAATTATTTTATTCAATAATATATTTTGTATGTGGTTTGTATATCTATAAAATTTTTAAATAGAGTAACAGCGCTTTCAGTTGGAGCAGACAAGGAGCAGACCGTACGCGCAGAGCGTCCGCACGGATGTTTTTTCAAGATAGCTCATCCGGACGGAGCATACGCGACCCAGGTGAAATTGTTCATATAAGCTCATGGTACTTGCTCGAAGTCGCGGACGGTCCGTCGCTGACGCTCCGTTCCATTTGAAAGCGCTGTAAGATAAGACCTAATTCGACTTTATTTATTTAAAAAATTAGAAATTTAATTAATTAAGATTTAAATTATTAATTTAAATCTACATTTAAATGCCAATAACTAACCTGGAACATATATTGTAAATAATATATCTGCATTTCTTCATTTCTAAAGTTGTATATTTTTTGAAGGTATTCAATTCGCCACATTATTATTCTATGGCTTTCCATCATTGCAGCACGCTTATTAATAATTTTTAAAATATTATTATGTATATAATTTTAAATCTAATTCCCAGTTTTTTAAACCTTCGCCGTAATGTGCTTTCTGAACAGGGGTTTTTCAAAACTCGGAGAGTTTTTTTAAAATTATTTCTATGGCGGGAACTTTATTATTTTCATATTTGCCATAAATTAAGTTTCTTAGTAGTCTGGATAGTTCAAATTTCTGGATTTTTCTATATCGAATCGTTCCTTTCTTTGTCGATTCCCTTTATTTATGAGAGTACCGTAAGGAACTTCTGAGAGCATGGCCACCTTTTTCAACACACTCGATTTGCCTCTCTTATCTTCTATGTATCCTATATGTAAAGAAGCTTGTTTTACATCTTTAATTCCGTTCAGCAGAAATAGCGCATAATTTACGTTTGAGCCGTTAATAACTCGACAAAAGTTCATTACGTTTATTCATTTTTCATAAAATTTTCATGTTTTTATAAAAGAAATCACTAATAAATCTTTGTATATGAGATTTACCTACTTTGGCTAACTTACCTATACTATTTTAGAGAAGACAAAATTGCATCTTTCTAGTTAGGATGCATTATTAACATTATTACAAATAAAGGAAAGAATATTATTTTTATATAAAAATGGGATGTGGAATCCGAGCCCCTTGAGACTCGAGGCAATTGTTCCGCGGAGCCGCGATGTATACGCCACTGGTTAAATAGACGCCCCAATCCTTTTGATGGTTCGCCAAAGGCTCCGGAAAAAACGGAGACAGCGCCGTCCGGCTGGGCATAGGCTCGGCTCGAAGCTCAGACCCCGTCCCAATATGACGAGTCAACCTCAAATCCGCTTGAGGTTGACTCGTCTCGGGTGTCTCTCGCACTCGTCTCGACATATTTATACGCAGCTTTAGGCTCTCAGTAGTGCTCTCATGTACTTTGAACACCGGCGTGTTTGTGGGGTTCGCCCTGTGCCACCTTGGCAGATACCAGGTTAAAAATGTAATAGACCGAGAGCTGACTACATAAAAAACCTTATCATCGTTACATGGCTAATTTTTTGTGTGAAGTATATCCTTTTGTGTAGCCATTATGAAATAGTCATGTCTGCCAGCGCGGTCCCGGGGCTTAAAGCGGGGACGGCCAAGCGAAAGGGTGAAATTTTGACACTAAAAATATTTTGAGGTACACGAGTTATAATTGCTAAATAGCTTTTATTTATTATTAAAAAACGTGTAAAATTGTTGACAGACATTTTTCTCGTGGCCGAAATGCCGGCAGACACTGTGAAGGAGGCATAGAATTTTGACAAAAGAAAATCATCGCATACATGCATGTCGGTTGGTGGAATGTCATGTTTATTGTTAATTAATTTAAAAAGCCGCATATGCAAAAGGGCAGACAAAAAAATCGTTATTGAAATAATAAAAAATATATTTATAATATATTCGTATATTACATGATTTATCTATACTTAAATGGATGAGGCGACCAGCGTTGCCTGAATAAAGTGCTAGAGTAATATCGCGCTTTTGATAACTGTCTGCAGCTGATTGAGCCACGATCTTTTTGTCTCTTGAACTTTTGCATACGGCTTTTAAAATAAATAAATATGACATTTCACCAATCGGCATGCAAATATGCCATAATTTTTTTCATTCTGCAAATTTCATTTTTTAATAATTTTTAAAATTTCATGCCTCTTTCGCGTTGTCTGTCGGCATTTCAGCGACTGGAAAAATGTTTGCCAACAATTTTCCACGTTTCTTAATAATAAATAAAAGCTATTTTCGCAATAATTATAACTCATGTATCTTATAATATTTTTAAACCGTATTCAAATTCAAAATGCACCAGTATAAACAAATGCACAGTGCGTGATCAGCACGTGTCAGGCGAGAGCCAGTGGCGAAATCTACCCTGATTGGCCGGCCAGCCATAGAGCCGTTGAGGTAGGCGGTTGAGATTTTTTACAGGGTCGGCTTGCATAGCGCGTTAAGGAATACTCTTTGATAAAATAAAAATTTGATAAAATATTTTTTTTTCAAAAAAATATGTCGTTAGACTTTAAAACGGATAATACAGCAGGCTACGAAAGTAAGTTAGAAGTAAGTGCTTTTTTAGTAAACAAAAATGTATTAAATTATGTAAAACGTTTACATCATTACATTTTTTTGCAAATAGTATTATAGAAACAGATACCTATTTATACCGATATTCAGATATTGCTGTCAATAATGGCAATAAAAAAAATCAGTAGTACCAAATAAAAAGATAATTATTTTAAAGAACAAATTAAGCCCTTTTAAAAAACACCAAATTTGTTAAAATCGGTCGTGCCAAAGAATAATGTAATGTTTTAATATCCTCGCCCCCTTCCCATCACTTTATTTCACAAATTTTATGTAGTTTGATAACAATTAAAGGTAATTATTGGGAAAACTGGAAATCGTCCGATTTTCACCAAAATTAGTATACACCCTATTTTGAAGTCGTAGATTACGAATCTGAACACAACAACTTTTTGACTGGCGGTCTCTTACCGTTTTTCAGAAAAACGGAAAATAGTCTCAACATAGAATTTTTCTTAATTTATCATATTTTTAAGGTTTTCTAGTACATATTTTGTTAGGTATTCCATAAACAATGAGGTTTTTGCTATTTGCTGTTACTTTTTTAACCAATTCTATGCATCATAGATATATTATATGCTCCGCATAGAAGTTGAAAGCAATGCAATCAAAACTCTTTCGCGTAACTTTGTGGATATAGGTATATTTAACTATTGTCAGATCTCATAATAGGTAATTTATTTAAAATCCCTAATCACCCAAAAAAATACAAGATATGGTAACGTTGTAAAATTTCAAATTTCTAGATTAGGTCTAGAATATATTTATCTCTCTCATTACATAGGAGAGAGAAAGAAGAATATATGAAATATCAAACTTCCATCTGGTCTCAATTTTCTTTGTTATTTTGTTAAGAAAAGTGTTTTTCAATAAAATTTTGGATATTTTTCTATCCTCAATCAAGTGTGGCTTTTAGATAAACTATGATATAATGAAAATATAATGAAATTATTACTTTATAGAGCTAAATAAAGAAGAATTCAATGTTGGAATTATTTTCCGTTTTTTTGAAAAACGGTAAGAGGTAGCTGGTTGGTTCAGATTCGACAACAAACAATCTACGACCTCAAAATAGAGTGTATACCAATTTTGGTGAAAATCGGACGATTTCCAGTTTTCCCAATAATTACGCAATTAAATAATATAAATTTTCATCACAAAACATAAGCAATAGTAAAAAAATCATAAAAATATACATAATAATTTTATGATTTGAAATATCCGACCTTAGTGCGGTCCTGGTTATATTACTACAGCGTTCCTGTTCACGTGCTTGCCTCATGTCACTGTTTACGTTAGGTGCACCTTGGGTTTGAATTTACTATAGTGTCAAAGTTTCACCCTTTTGATTGGCCGCCCCCGCTTTAAGCCCCGGGACCGCGCTGGCAGACATGACTATTTCATAATGGCTACACAAAAGGATATACTTCACACAAAAAATTAGCCATGTAACGATGATAAGGTTTTTATGTAGCCAGCTCTTAGACTATTATGTCTGATCGCTCTGGGATCTTGGACTATGTAGACGTACTTGTATAGCAAGCATTAACTCGTCATTGGTCCAACGTGAATTGGGCCTCTGCGAGCTGTCATTCGACGGTCGCAAGTCTTCTATCGAGTCGGAATGCTTCCGTTTCAGCGAACTGATGTTCTGTTTATTTTGTTGAATCTGAAACAAAAAAAGAAAAAAACATTTTATAATCTATTATCGCTATTAACTACATCAACACGTCGTTGAGGACAATTTTAGCATTGGTTCAAAAGTACGTACAGCATAATAGAAGTACCAAATCATGTATGCTCTAGTGTTAAAACATGCTCTGTATAACATATATTCCAACATATTTGGAGTTTTTGTTATATTATGGCAATAAAAACAAAGAGTAGCAGACAAAAATAATAAGCTTTCTGTTTAACAATAGTTATATTGAAAACAAAATATTCATATATGTGTAAATTTTCTATCATTCTCTAGAAAGCATGATTTCTAAAAAACATTTTTAAATATTAAAAAATCATCTAATATTCAAGATTTTAATAAGGCATTTTGTATGCTAGGTAAATTCATGCTGTTTCTAGAGATGCTATGAAAGATTAATTAAAAAAGGTCCAGTAATTAGTTTCTTTTTAACTTTTTTGCAAATTAAACATATCCAAATAGTTTCGAAGATATTCTGTAAACAAATTTTAAAGCTTTATTCAGAACCCCGCAATTAGTGGAATAAATTAGTGGTTTCAATTACACTTTATATTTATAATAAGTTTACGATCATTCACAGTGTCTAGAAACACAATTAAAATTAATAAAATATTCTAGCAACAGCTTCCAGTAGTCAGTAGTATCCTTTGAATAAAAAGATTAAGGAAGGAGCATATAACAAATCTTAGATCTACCGCGAAGGGACTCAAATATGGCCGACTTAAATTCCGGTTTATCAGTGCCGTTCTAATTTTATTTACAAAGTGTAAAACTATGATGTAGGGTAGACGTGGAGTAGACTCGATAATTTGTTGTTTTATTTTACGTTGTGAATAAATGTTGGTAGTTATTAAAATTGTTATAAAAATATATAATTCTAATAAAAATAGATTAAATTATAATAATTATTTATTAACACAAACATTCGATACGCTACTGAAGCAGGTAAGTCAAACTGACGTATCTAAATTCTTTGACATCTAAACTTTCGTAGTAGTTATAAAAGCAAAAATGCAAGAAAAAATATATAATTAGTTAATTTAAGTGAATTTCATAAGTGATCGGTTTACTACACGTATATACAGGGTGTTTCAAAACAAATGCGAAAAAGTTCAGGGGGTGATTCCTTGTTCAAAATAAAGGGTAGTTTGCTTCATAAACGTTGGGTCAAAAGTCAACCATTAGGGAGATATCGCGGTACAAAGATGGCGGAAAAATAATGTTCTTATTTTTTATCTTGAAAACGAAAAGAGATAGACTAATGAAATTTTATGGAAGCATTACTGTTATGAAAACACACTTTCTGGTAATTTTTCACTTTTTTAAAATGAGTGGAAGGGGTTGAAATAAACTACCCCTATCATTCTTGTTAACGAAATTTAAAGAAAAATCTTATCAAACACATGCAAAAAAATTAATTTGGATAGTTTAGTTTATTTAGAAACTTTTTTATCTCTTGTGTTTTTTTGATAAAACTCACTGATTTGAAATTAAAAAATAAAATGTAAAGCATTACATGTCAGGACAAAAAACATTTTTAGATAAAGAATCTAGTGGGCAGCTGTAATTTTTTTAGGAAAAAATCTAGTCGGCCGCTGTCACTTTTTAGGATGTTTCTAATATTGTTTTATTTGACATTACCCTACTGCAATACGTTATTATCTAGATTAATATTATTATCATTATTATCACTAGATTCTTAATCTAAAAATATTTTTAGTCCTGACATGTAATGCTTTACATTTTATTTTTTAATTTCAAATCGGTGAGTTTTATAAAAAAAATACAAGAGATAAAAAGGTTTCTAAATAAACTAAACTATCAAAATTAATTTTTTTTGCATATGTTTGATAAGATTTTTCTTTAAATTTCATTATCAAGAATGATAGGGGTAGTTTATTTCAACCCCTTCCACTCATTTTAAAAAAGTGAAAAAATTATCAGAAAGTGTGTTTTCATAACAGTAATGCTTCCGTAAAATTTCATTAGTCTATCTCTTTTCGTTTTCAAGATAAAAAATAAAAACATTATTTTTCCGCCATCTTTGTACCGTGATATCTCCCTAATGGTTGACTTTTGACCCAACGTTTATCAAGCAAACTACCCTTTATTTTGAACAAGGAATCACCCCCTGAAGTTTTTCGCATTTGTTTTGAAACACCCTGTATATTATACAGAAAAATCCGCAGACTTCGAGACAGGAAAATCAAGTCCATTTAGCGTGTGTCAAAATTTTGACAAGTTTTCAAAAATGACAGTTTTGTTTAGACTGACGTTTAATTTCACCTGACCTCTTGGTGAATGATTTCTTTTTATGGGGGTACATAAAATCTAAAATTTACGGCCATGAAGAAATTCAAAACTTGGAGCAGTTAAGGCAGAAAATATTTAATGCATTTGACACTGTCAGCCCTGATATGTTATCCAATGTGAGGAGAGAGGGGATTTTATGATCGTTTGGGTTATTGTGTAATGCAAGAGGGAGGCATTTTTCAACAATTTTTGTAATTTTTTAAATTTCATTATCCGGTTTTTTTAACCTAACCTAACCCATTACCTACGTTGACGAACATGGGAAAACAAAGGTCCTTTTCAGGACCACAAATATTTTGATTGAGAAATTTGTTACTTTTATTTTTTTTTGGATTAAAAAAACAAAAGTTGTTAATATAATACCAATTAGAATGACCTGTATTTATATTTACTTTAATATTCACCTTAAATGAGGGAATTTGACTGATACGATTTTTGAATTTGAATTGTTTTTAATGATACTAACAATTTTAGTTCAATTTTTAATAAAATTTATTTAATATTAATAGAAATCCAAGATATTTGAAACTTCTTTTACCGATTTATAACATTCTCAAATGAATTACAGGTGCCCTTATTTTCTATGAAAACCACACAGCTTTTTTCATAGTCGCTGCAGTTGCTATAGCTATAAAAAACTATTTTTTTAAGGTATGAAAATTGCGATACACGCTAAATAGACTTGATTTTTCTTATGTCTCGAAGTCTGTGGACCTTTCTGTATAGTCACTTACTAGCGAAAAGTTATTCCATTATTTCACTAGATTTTTGACCGAGATCTACCGCATGTTACACAACCAACTATTTTACAGACTTTTTCGATAAATCGCAATAGTGTCACTGTTAATTTAAGTTCTGTCATTATTTCCATCTAGATTTACTACCTTTATACAACTATCAGTAGTAGAATAAATAATAAATAACATAAAATTAGCTCAGTAAAGGCCGACAAATCCACATAATTTCAAATCAAATTCAAATATGTCAAATGAATCGACAAAAACGCTCTTTGAATCCCAAGAATCCCTACCCTAGAGTCCTTTTCCATGCATGAATATCGATGGCGTTATACTCTTTCCTTAATATTTTTATTCAAAGGTTATCCATATAGAAAGCCTAATATTTAGCTTATAAAACAATAAACTTTCTCTTGACGGATGATAATCAAAGGCCAAAATGACATTCCTCGCAAATTTTGAAGTATAATTAGCGGAAAAGTTTGTTAGCTTTTTCCACTAATTGAAAATTCCCACCACTAATTTTGACGTTCTGAATGCTTGCATTGAAATTAGACGAACAAACTTCTACGCTAATTGAAACCCCTAATTTATTCCACTAATTGCGAGGTTCTGAATGAAGTTTAAGACGGTGTAATTAAATGCCAAATCCGACGTTTCGTTTCCAAGATACCATCATCAACTTTATTTTTTTAATACGGATCTGATATTTTTATTTTATTTATTAAAAGTTTTTGACAATGATGTAGAACACTTGCCCAAAACATGTATAATAAAGAAAATTAAATTCAACATTTTTTGGATAAGTGTAAAGATTTTATTAGCAAATAAATTTGTGACTTTTAGTCATTTTTAAATTGCTGGACCTTTCTTAAACTTTAGTATATTAATCACTAACTTAACAATATGTCTAAAAAGCTCTGGATAAGTAAGAAAGCAAACGTGAACCACAGATTAGGGAAAGAAGGGAGAGAATCGCTGCAATAATAAACGATAATGAAAAATAAAAGTGAGGTTATGCGAGTGAAGCTCTTGTCCCTTCTCTGTGATTAAGCGTTGGCCGTCCCGTACATCAATGTCACAAAATAAAAATAAAACAAACATGTTTACAAAATCGACGAAGGCTGTATTGAACGATGTTTTAGTAGATAAAGTAGAACTGAGTTGAATAACAACAAAAATTAAGATAAAGACATTAAAAAACTTGAAAGTATTTACTGTCTTTTGATTTGAATACATTTACTAATTACGTTCAACTCTAATTATAAAACATGCGTATTCAATACAGACCAAAGGTTAAAAAAGGAAATTAAAAACTAAAAATAAAAATATATAATCCTCTCTCCCTTCATTCCGATGTCCTTTTCCCTCATCTGTGGTGTCCTAATGCGACAGACAGTGTGTGCTAGTTGTCCTATAGACCTTTCAGTACGACAGATACGCAGAAGGAAAAAAAATCGGTACCATTATCTCTGCAGTGTGCATCAGCTGAATGTTATAATACCAACTTTGTTTTTTTGAATGCAATTTTTGCAATGTTCAGAATTCTTCGACAGGGTTCTCAGGAAGATATTTAGTGCCATAGCTATTTATTTTTATTTCACTTACTGGCGGTTCAGACAAAACCTTACAATTCCTACATTTAAAGTTTTTTTGTTATCCCAAATAGGTAAGCCTGCAGCTATAGTACTAAATTTATCTGAAAACCCTGTACAGGGTGGGTCAAATTCGACGCTTTTAAATGGAAACACCCTTTTCTATAGGAAATAGACAAAAACGAATATCGGTGTCTGGAGCTCAATTCTTGTCAAAAACATGATGGTGAAAACCGCATATCGATATTTGTTACCGTTTCTGAGTTACGGGGTGTTTTTCAAAAATATGCAATTTTTAACAAATCGCTGTAACTTTTTTGCTATGGAAAATTTTGTATTTTTATGACAACATTTCCAAAGCACCTTTTTACGTAGAATTTAATGGTTTAAGTATAATTTCTTAAAATTAATAATTTAAGAATTATCAACAGAAAATTTGATTTTTTATATGGGACACCCTATATATTTTTAATTTATTGAAAATAATTTAAAATTACCTTTCCAAAAATATAACACACTTGATATTTTGCTCGATTCCTCTTCGAGATATAGAGTATATAAAAATTCGCCCGCTTTAAATAAGTAGGCTTTGAACGACACCGGCTGTAACGCAAAAAAAATTCTAGCTGTGAGAATCAATTAAAACGCAAATAATATTTGCTATGAGAGATGCAGAATTTTATAACAATTTAAAATATATTTAACCAACATCAACACATTTAAGCTATATCTAATAACAATAAAAATAAATGGCAAACCAAGACATGAGATTTTACTACAGGTGTTCGACATATCGACCGTCTTCTGTTATGAACAGACGGAGCCGTTTTTGAACATTTCTCGCGGAATTCATTAACTCAGTAGGGGTGAAAGATACCCTCTCATAACTGCTAAGTATTTCTAATTCTTATCTAGATTATACGAAAGAATAAGGAACCTTTATTCTTCCGCAAATATATCCATAGGATTAGATCCATGGGCACTAAGTCAGGCGTCCTCGCCGGCCAACGGCTGGGATCTTGGTTAGCTATTCAATTATTCTTGAAATTGGCTGCAAAAATTTGCTGATAACTTCAGCGTTCTGAGGCGGTGCGTCGTCTTGCTGGAAAAATATGTTTTCGAGTTCCATTAAGGGCACATCATCAATAAGGGGTCCAAAGCCTACTAGTTAAAAGTGGCGAACTTTTAAATATTCTGTATTTCGAAGGGGATTATAACAAAATATCAAGTGTGATATATTTTTGGAAAGGTAATTTTAAATTATTTTCAGTTAATTAAAAATATAGAGGGTGTCCCAAATAAAAAATCAATTTTTCTGTTGATAACTCTTAAATTATTAATTTTAAAAAAATGATACTTAAACCATTAAATTCTACATAAAAAGGTGCTTTGGAAATGTTTTAATAGAAATACTAAATTTTCCATAGCAAAAAAGTTACAGCGATTTGTTAAAAATGCACATTTTTGAAAAACACCCCGTAACTCCGAAACGGTAACAGATATTGATGTGCGGTTTTCACCATCATGTTTTTGATGAAAATTGAGCTCCAGACACCGATATTAGTTTTCGTCTATCTCCTATAGAAAAGGGTGTTTCCATTTAAAAACGTCGAATTTGACCCACCCTGTACATTTTAGTATTTGATTTTTTTAAAGCGAATATATTTGTATATTTTATTGGAAAAATCTTATGCCGGGTCCAGAGCAAGGCGACAAAAAGTAATAAAATTGCGTTTATCTCATCAAGGAGGCTGAATTCGACAAAATAAGAAGAGAGAAGTGAAAAATAAATACGAAGAAGAAAATTATAATAAATCGAAAAAATATTAAGATTTTAACACCTTGTAGCTACGAAACAAAGCAGAATCGGATATGTGATATGAAAAATAAATTTTCCATTTAAAAGCGTCGAATTTGACCCACCCTGTACAGGGTGTCGCACTTTGGTTGAAATCATACGGTATCTCCGTTATTAATGAATACAGAAGGGTGCGGTTTGCACAAACATGTCTTGTCAAATAGAAGATGCCTAAATCAAATTTTTATAGTCCTCTTCGAAACTACAACAATGTCGAACATCTGGAAAACGCTTTAATAATGCAAAATTTTAGATATTTTCGCAAATTCCAAACACATCCCGTTATAAAAAAAAAGAAAAATATATTCAGAGATTCAAAAAATATATATCAGTCCCAAATAAAATTCTAATATTTGTATGACTATTTTGGTAAATATCATTTTTATTTTTTTGTTATTTATCACGACCTACTAATAAAAAATTGTATATTTTAAATATTGCAGTAAATAGTGAAAACAAATATAGAGTGGTATATATTTTTGAGAAGCTCATAGCAAGACGGATCATATAATTTATAAATATACAGGGTGTTCCGTTAGAAAAAACATAACTTTAGTTCGAGGGGTGTCTCACTATTGGAATTATATGTACATTTTCTTGGCAGTCGCTGGCAGTCATTGGCAGTCTTCTGGCAGTCGCCTATAATAATTACATGGCAGTCATAGGCAGTCTTCTTCATAGTCATTGGCAGTCGCTTAGCAGTGGAAGGATATTTTGGCAGTACGTGTACATTTTTTACCCTAGTGAGACACCCCTCGCTTTAGTTCTTAATTTCAAAAATATTGTTTTCGTAGAAAAACAGATTACGCCACTGTATTCTACGTAAAAAGTCATACAAGAATCAGTTTTCACCTTCTTGATATCATTCACAATGACGGAGATCGGGGGCTGTCCCAAATTGCAAAATTTTCGAAAAGGCCCTGTAGCTCAGAAACGAAGAGCGCTATGAAAATTTTGTTGACAGCATCTTTCGTTTGACAAAAAAGTGGGACAGATTTGTGCAAACCGCATCCTCCTATCTTTGCTAATAACGGAGGTACCATATGATTTCAACGAAAATTGGACACCCTGTACATACATACCTATTTTCAACTGCGTGTATCAGAAAAATGGCCGATTTAACAGAAATGTATTCAATTTTTTAAGGCATTTAAAAAACTATAAATATTTTTTGAACACTTGTTTTTATTATTGACTGCATCCAGCTTGTATAAAGAAGAAACAAGTTGTCAAAACGCGTGATTCGTGAAAAATACTCTACCCATTTTAAAATGATTGAAATAGGTTTACTGAAAAGTCGAAATAAGAATATACTAGGTAATGTAAATATGAAGTATTTATGAAATAATCTCCAAATTCAAGTTTAATTTAAGTTTAGGTCCAAATCACACTTTTAACCTACTGAATTAGAGAAAGTTATTTGCTGTAAATGTCTAATTAGACGTTTTTGGAGAATTACTTGTGATAAAGCTTCATTCAGAACCTCGAAATCAGTGGAATAAATTAGTAATTTCAATTAGCCGTAGAAGTTTGTTCACCTAATTTTAATCTACGCATTCAGAACGTTATAATTAGTGGTAGTACTTTTCAATTAGTGGAAAAAGTTAACAAACTTTTAACTTTTCCAATAATTATACTTCAAAATTTGCGAGGAATGCCATTTTGGCATTTGATTATCACCCGTCAAGAAAAATTTTGGTTAGAAATCAAAAGTTTATTGTTTTATAAGCTAAATATTATGCTTTCTTTGTGGATACAACAGACTACCGCAAGCTGTTGCTAGGATATTTTATTAATTTTATTGTATTATGCATTGTGAATGATCGTAAACTAAAAAGTATAATTGAAAACACTAATTTATTCCACTAATTGGGAGGTTCTGAATGAAGCTTAAAAGTCTGAAATTTTGGCTCCTTAATAGTAAATGAATATGATTAACTTTCTTGTTTTAAATAGAATACCACCCCCCTTAACAAGCAACCAATATTTCAGGTTTTTACTCTAAGCACTTCTCCATAAACGTCTAACGGGACACCCACCGGGAACAGCCCTGTATAAAAACTCTGTGTGTATCTGTCATACCGCTCGGTCCTCTCCGTGTACTCTTTTACTCACTTGTCTCTGCAACGAATCGAGCTCCCTCTCCATCGCCCTGAGCAGCAGCGTGCCCGCGTTGCCCGAGGCCATCGTCGCCAGGTCGTCGTGGTTGATGTGCATGCCCTTGGGCGGCCGCCGCCGCGCCCTCGAGGCGGCCGAGTTGCCGCCCGCGGCGCCCCGCTTGCCCGCCAACGCCGGGCCGGAGGTAGGCCGCGCGCTTCCTGTGCGTCTGTTAGGGAGGGCGGCGAGAAATAACCAAGCCAGAGTCAGATAAATGTCGAGAGATGTAGCGGAGGTTTTATCGAAGAAAGGAAAAAGTATAGGTAGATCGGGAATGGTAGTGAGTTATTGGTTGTAAGTAGATTGTAATAGAGAAACTGTTATTCGTTACAAGTGTAAAAATAAGAGTCCGACAACAGCGATTGCTCGCGATAATAAAAATAAATTGCGGCCTCGTAACAAATGTTACATCTAAAAAGTAACAGTTATAAAAATAACAGGTGACAATTATAAAAATAACAGTTCCAAAAATAACAGTTCGCCAAGAGCGACGGCCCGCCTAGTCGAGATCGCCGTACCACGTATTTTATCGAGCTTTCCTGCAACAATTATTGCTTCTAATAAATGACAGTTATGAAAATAACAGGTACGAAAATAACAGTCCGCCAACAGCGACTGCTCGTGATGTCGAGATATTCGGGCTACGTATTTTATCGGCCTTGAAATAATTATTACTTCTAAAAAATAACATATACGTCATATAATATATACAGGGTGAGTCTTAAATAAGTACAAATATTTTCAGGGCTGGTAGATCGGTAGATCTCGATAAAAGAAACATATTTTCTCTTTGCCACTTTTCAGATAAATCCTAAATAACCTAGTTATTTAAGTTTGAAAATTTAAAAGATTGATTTTTTTAAATTTTGAAAGCCATTGAATTTTTTCTATATTTACATTTCTATTGCCGTAACTATGGTAATATCAAAGATTAAGAAATTATACAGTGGGAAAATTTGCGGTGAACAAACAGGCAGTCCTAAAAAGTTTTCGAAAAATATACAGGGAAATTTAAAAGAAAATGTACGATTTTCAACATCTTTTTTTTAGCGAAAAAAATCTCATAGACGTGTTCCTGGGGTCGAAATATACTACCTCTGAAAATATTTGCACTTATTTAAGATTCACCCTGTATATAAGGTCCATAAATAAGGTACGAAAATAACAGTCCCCTAACAGCAACTGTCCGCTATGTAGAGATCCAACAGTTTCATCGGGCTCGGAACAATTAAATTGTTGCTTTCAAAAAATAACAGGTACTAAAATAACAGTTCGCCAACAGCGATTACCAGTAATGTTGAGATCTCAGCACCACGGATTTTATCGGGCTCGTAACTATTATTGCTTTGAAAAATAACAGTTATAAAAATAACAGGTACAAAAATAACACTTCGCCAAAAACGACTCCCATCAGTCGAGATAGCCGCGCCACGTATTTTATCGGGCTCGTAATAATTATTGCTTCTAAAAAATAACAGTTAGATATAAAAATAACAGACACGAAAATAACAGTCTCTCAAGAGACTGTTACGTTAAGATCGTCGCGCCACGAATTTTATCGGCCTCGGAACAATTGTTGCTTCCAAAAAATAACAGTTACGTTAACATAGATGGATTACGATGTGAGTTCGGGATCGCTGACCCACAAAATGTTATCAACCTTTGGAGTGAATTATCGTTTTTGGTTATTATTATCGTTATTTTTTAATTTTGTTTATATTGCTTGTATTTTCATTTCAGAAGTGTAAAAAACGATGAGCAGTTTTTGTGGGATACTGACATTTTTATTTTTTACTTTTTTTGTTGCTTATTGAGATTGTTGGTGGTAATTAAATTATAATGTTACATGATTATAGATAGTGAGGGTATATGTACTGAATATTAAAAATGTTTATTAAAATACACTCGTTTATTTGATATATTCACAAGGAAATCAATAAATAAGAGAAACCTGTTATTTTAAGCTGTTAACTATATACAAAAATAACAGCTGTCCATCTTGTCATAATTCTTATAATAAAAACTGCTTATAAAATGGTTTTAGTTAAATTTGCCCAAACACTGTCCTCTAATATGATAAAATTTATATTATTTCATATAACAGGTGATAGTTACATAACAACTGAATGGCAGTAGTTGTGATGACAGTAGTTTAAAAATATACAAATATAATGTTCTACAACCAATAACTCATGAGGAAGGTACAGATGACTTGACACCATAGTGTACATAAATGCGATCTATTACATTCTTAGAACGAAGAAAGTGAAAACATAAAAAAGTCACCTTATTTTACTCATTTTCGCAAATATTGTTTTCTATTAGTTCAATACGTGTTCAAGAACATAATCAATGAGGCAACACTCGCATTTACGTACAATATTTTGCTTGTTGGTTAAAAGTGGTTACCTCCAGTGCTGGTAGCAGCTGTTACACAGGGGCCCCTTGAGGGTCACTTGCGTGATGGTGCAGAAAACGCCGCAGTTCGAACAGGAGCCCCCCTCGCCCTGCGCACACACGTACAATAGGACACAACAAATCGGGAGAGAAGATTTTTTTAGTATATACGGTGGTCGTACGATCGAACAAGAATTACAGCAAAGCTTACTTAGAAATTAGCTTCTTTAAATTTCCTTTAATCTATTTTACTGGTAAAGTTTGTGTTAGGTTAGGTTAATACTAGTGATGGGATAACTCGAGCGAAAATTCGCACGAATACTCGATTATTGAAATAACCGACATCGCTCGATTATGAACGAGCGACGAACGCAAGCGATCCTAGAATGAAATAAATTGAAATCAGATTTTAATGTGACATACGCAATAAAAAGCCGAGCGAATTTTTTACATACATTTCAGGTAGCAAATTTATACGACGCCGTATATACACGTGTGGTAAAATTTCATTAGCAATAGGAGATTTTCAATGCGATAAAAAAAGATGGTAAGGCTGCAAAATACATTGCAGTACAACAGAGACGGATAAAGTGTCTTTTCCCTACCATTGTATAGGGGAAGTGATCATAGAAGAGATACGAGATACGACGAGAGAGCCTCTGTGTGAGGGGGCGGGTCTTTAAGACGCTTGTGTGGGGGCTACCGGCTACTAATAGAATAGAATCGAAAAAATAGAAACACGACGCACAGTGTTGCCATTCTATTAAATTAAAATTATGTTGGCTTATCCTAAATCCCGAATCTTCTAATCCCATTATCTTGCCTACTTAATGAAATATTAAATAAAGTACAAAACAATTTTAAGAATGTTTTCTCTAGGCACATAACTTCTTTCTAAAACAAAAAGTAACATGCAGAACTTTGAAATCATTTCTAAAATAGCAAGTGCGATTCTATGAAATTGCAATACTGTACGATCTTCCTTCCAGTCGCCCCGACACCGGTCGGTCGGCGGCGGCGGTGACAAAGGAATTAGGCCGAAAAAAACTTTATAAAGGAGTAGCCGAACAGGGTTGCCGGGTTTGTTAGATTATAATTCCATACGAGAACAAAATTAGATCTTCAACAAAAATCAAAAGTACAATTTTAATCAGTGATATCTAAAATTAATTTCATTTCAATGGGAAAGCTGTAACAGCTCTCAACAATTTTTTCATATTAATATATTTTTTTGACAGGAAAAGCACTAAAATATTTATCCGTATTCAGTTTGTTTCTTAACTTAGATTTTGTTTTTTGTTTATATTTTTTGGGAAAAATATGGGTTCAACTTTAGTAGATGAATGAAACAAAATCTTTTCAAAAGATATCAACTTCTTCGGGCATGTCGCCAATACCACGCCTAATAAAGAGTAATAAGGATTTGTAGGAATATCTTTGTAACTCTGAAACTAGACAGAAAGATGACCTATGATTACTAAACAAAATTTAATAAACAATAATAAAGTCAGATTATACAGATTCCAACGTGGTAGTCGCTTAATTTTTAGTCAAATATATATGTCAGATTTTAAAAGTGCTTCTATTGTAAAGACTAAAGACGCAGTTGAACATATCGTTAGATTTTTGTTTAAATCGGTAGATCGGTAGCTTACAGACGAAACCGGTAGACCTGGCAACTCTGTGATGGACTGACGTGATGGCGTTTTGCGGGAGCGCGGGAAGGGAAATAATGGTGATAAAGGGCAGGTGGACGGGTATCATGGGTGGGTGGGAGGCGGCGGAATTTCCAAAATTTGTTATCTTATTGGAATTTGTCTAACTCGACAGTCGTAGTGGAAGTGGAAACGGGGAAGTTGTTATCCATCTCTGTTTAAGCTTAGACTTTTTATAGGCGTTTCATTCCAATGCATATAATTCCTATGCCTAGATATCCTATTACCGGACCTGTATATTTATCCGTTGCGTATCTGAGAGACAAAATTTTACGACCTTACATCGACAATGCTTTGAAATAAAAAAAAATCAAGCGATCAAGTGAATCGCTCACCGCTTGCTAATTGCCATTCATCACCGAAAGAATATGTGCCCTGCGCACGCAACTTACTGCTTGGCGTTTGGCGTTAACGAGTACTTACAACAACCGACGGCGACGGGTGAAAAACGGTATTTTTAAATACGAGTGATATTTCGCTGGAGCGATCACTCGGTTATTGCAATCGCTTGAAACTCGAGTACACGATTATTGAAATTAATCGGTTTTTCCCATCACTAAACCTAACACAACTTTACCAACACAAAATGTCAAATATTAACAATATTGTTATGTGGATTCTTGATTAAGACTTCTAAGTAAGCTTTTATTCGATCGCAGATATTAATACATAACAAATTATTTCAATTTTTTAAACCAAAATCACAAAATTTATTTTTTCGAACAGTCTAGGAGCATTCAGCGGGAACAGTAGGTGTCGACTTGGATATTAATAAGGATAATACATTTTAAAATAATAAAAAAACTTTTATTAATTTAATAACAATCATTATTATAAATAGAACCTATATATCATAGTAGACAGTTTGTAAATCAAAAGATAAATAAAATTAATCAATAAATTAAACTCGATTTAGAGGTAAAATATTCCTTATATAAAAGTATTATTTAGAGATTAGACATAGGTACGTACAAAAATATAAACGGGATTTTTCTAAATATATGCAAAAAATGATAAAATACGTCTTGAGCAAAATTATATTCTTTTTATTAAGGCTAACTATAGTTTAGATTTTAAGTTTCAGATCCTAAAATTTAAAATCAACTATTGTGCATGTATGTTGTCACAAATTTGAGCACCCATCATTTTCATTTCGGTAACTAGAAGCAGGGTTGGGTAACGACGTGTAGAAAATTAATTTTCTACGTGTATGTAGAAAAATGCGTAGAAAATGTAGAATATTAAGTAGAGAATGTATAAAATCTGAGAACAAGTACAAAATAAATTTTGTATATTTAAAGCCGTTTTTTTTTCAGTTTATATGTTTCTTCCTTTCTATTTTCTTTAAATTCTATAAGTGTTAAAACTGTAATATGTGTGACTATCTCTCTATTCTGTGACGGTACTAATTCCCTGAAGATAAGAGACTGTAATAGATCTGAAGACTATCAGAATATTTTGTTCTGTTTAATCTGAAGACCGTACAGAAAAAAAAATCTTTCTTTGAAAGTTTTCGTTGTTCCTTTTTTATATATATGTTACAGCAAAAGTTGGAAATCAGTAATTGTTAACAATTACTAGTAAAAGCTAACATTCACTGATTTGCTAAGACTATGCCAGTAAAAGTTCAACAGCTATTTTTGAAACCAACTTTTACTAGTGAATGCTAGCATTCCCTGGACGATAGCAGTGAGTTTGAAAGATTCAGTCAGCGCGGTTGCCACATGTTGTGAAGTATAAGAATAAATAAGGATAAGTTGAATAATAGGCAATATAAGGATAACATTAAATTGGGCTCAACGTTGGCAACATATGGCGTAAATTCGCTTTTGTCTTTTTGTGGTTATGTATAATTATTTTATTATCGTTGTAAAAAGTGCTGTGCGGTATTTTCTCTATGGAAGAAATTTTTCTCGGAATTTTCTGTGAAAAATTAAGGTAAACTAGGCACTCGCAGGAATGTAATAGTACTTGTTTTTCGTTTTTGCAATATAATGAAGTCATAGCAAAAGTTAGGCGTGCATGACAAAAATATATTAAGGAACCTAGTGACTATGAACTTATTAAACGTTTTCATATGCTTGAAGAGTAGCGAGTTTGAAAAAACGAATAATTCCCGTTGAAGAAAATTTGGGCTTACTGTATTTTGTCCACGATGAAGAACTTTACTAAAAAAAATTTTAAATTGTTTTGTACGCTTTAAAATGTTTACTATGTTTTTCCTTTTAATATTTAGAAGGTTATGTCGTTATTTTCTATAAGTTTTAATAAATATATCACAGAAGTAAATTGTAATTTTAAGATATGTGGATCAGCTTGAATATTGAGGTGATCCAATATTCTTAAAGTTTTATTTGTTCTAACTTCCACCAACATTCTTCCTCGCCATACTCGCCCTGTGCAATAGAATAACTTTTACTGGTAACCTTTAGTACATGTTACTTTCACTAGTGAATGTTAACAGTCACTGAATTTCCGACTTTCACTGTAACATATATAATAATTATCTTTTTGTTGTTCTGTTTGAGTCTTACCAAAGTTCACAGAAGTACATAGAATTATTATTATTTAAACTTTGATCATACTTTCGAAAACATTTAAGATATCTGTAAACTTCGACTATAGTATGTAACAAATCAAGGAGGATTTCGGTAGACGACGAAATATACGATATGCCTGTGAATTCTAATGACACAACAGTCACTGTCACGCATCCTTCCGTTGTATATATCAATAATTTAAAATAATATGGAAGTTAATAGTTAAACTTTTTTGATATACTATATTTAAATAATAATAAATAACAATTAGAGATATCGTTGTGATTGAAGTATTTGAAATAAATACAAACTCAAAAAAAGGTTTACAATATACGAAACTAATTTTCTACGTCTGGACATGTAAAAAATTAGTTGGCGTAGAAAATACGGTAGAAAATATATAATTTTCCACCTACCCAACCCTGACTAGCAGAGATACGAGGTGGTCGGTTAAAAGATGAAACATTTCCGATGAAAGAGAAAACGACAGAAACTAATGGAATACGGCAATCAATCCCAATTTATCGTGGATGAGCCACTTCTGAAAAACACCCAGTATATTTAGTCTTTTCTGAAGCTATAGATAGCCTTAATTTTGTTAATTCTTATCAAAACTATCTGCATAAATCTAGAAACATCTATTTGCAATATCGAAAACTTTCGATCAAGGAGATTACTATAAATTAACAATATAAAAAAGTCAAAATAAATTGACAAAATAAACCACACTGTCTTTATAAATTAATTAATAGTATCAGAAACACCATAAAACTGTTTCCACTGAACACTTCCTAGATATCACAGCTCTTCTTTACAATCTCCCTCACTTTTTTTTCCGGTTTAACAATAGCTGCA